TAAAATAAACTGTTCTGTGGTCAAACAAATCAAAATAAGAAAATTTTGGGAAAACCACGCGCAATAATTTTAGTGGAGAAACTTGTCAGAGAGAGAGCTCTGTTTATAAATTTTGTTTTCTTTATGTCTTCAGTCCTAAGAACACTAAACTGTAACTTTTAAAAAAGTCTATTCCAAAGAACAGGATGAGGAGGAGAACGAGGAAGTTTTACTCCTGAAACTGTCAACCTGCTGACTGAGAACATTTGTACATAGTAAACTTTGTATACAGAGCAATATACTTTATTAAATTACAGTTTTATTGAGATTTATTTTGGACAACCAAAATGTTTTGCGGACAACCAGATTTTGTCAACAGGTTGTCTGCTGGACATCCTGAAAAAAAAATCCTTATGTCTTAGTACCCCTGTATATGTATATATTTGTGTGTGTACTGTGTATATAATTAGAAATTTAAGTAAGCATTTGATTAAAATTAAATGAAAGGGTTTGATCTGTGGCATTAGCAGAGTTGTCAAAACTGAAAACCTGTATAAACTGTTTTAATTTAGACTAATTAGATGAATTGCAGGTAAATTGAGTTTCTTGTTGTTAAAGTCATTTCCAGTTGCCTGTCTTTTAGTGTCAAGTTTTCAAAAAGATAAATTTTGTGTATTTCTTTTCTTTCAAACTTCCATAGATCTGGGGTCTTTGACCTGGGATGATCTGGAGAATGACCTTCCAGATGAGCTGATTCCTAATGGAGGTGATATGAGCCTGATGGGTGGGATGCCTTCAAATGGCGGAGCAGCACCTGGAGCTGGTGGTCCAGGTGGCACCCCAGCAGGCCTTGGTGGTGGTGGTGGAGCGTCTGTTGTCCAAGATGCAGCAGCCAAGCATAAGCAGCTCTCAGAGCTTCTTCGGCCCACAGGTACAGGGCTCAACTCAGCAAGTCCGCAGTCTGGCAGCATGGGATCACAGCTGGGAACGCCATTAGGCAAGAGTCCTCTTGGCCAGGCCTCTCCAAACAGCCACTCGTCTCCTCAAGGCCAGAAACCAGGAACACCGACTGGAGTAGCAGGACAGAACAGTAACAGTAATACTGCTGCTATGTGTCTTACCTCAACGGGGTTCAACCAATCTCTACTTAACAATAGCCAGGGTCACGCTGGATTACTGGCTCAAGGTGGGCATCCTCAACCTGGGCAGGTGATGAATGGTGGTCTTGTACCTGGAGCTGGGAGAGGACGGGGTAGTGGGGTGGCAGGTATGCAGTATCAAGGACAGACTATACAGGGAACTGCACCAGGACCAGGAGTGTCTGGAAATGCGTTGGTAGAGACACTCACCCCAGGAGCGCAGCAGATGGGAGCTCATACCACCCTTAGTGCAGCTCAGCAAACAGCCAACATGAGCAAGGTGAGTCATGCTCCCACTCTTACAAGTAGTGTTTGCACGTGCATGTTTTATATCTAGGCAATGAATTGTTACTAAATTAAATTGTTAGTCATTCATATCATTTTTGTAGCATGCTGTGGGTGGAAACTGTTATAACATTAAACACAAATTAATGTGATTCAGTTAAAAACCTGCCGACTTCTGGCAGACAAAATTAAATCAGCTTGTTGATTAGCTGTTTTTGTCATCTTTGCACAGTGGGGTCCTTTCTTATGATGCCAAATGGATCCTGACTATCAGCATGAACATTCAAAATAATTATAATGTTATCTGGGGATTTATCAACTCATTTTGAGGTCTACTTTGTCCTGGGTGATGTTTTGACAGTTTCTTTGATATAAGGATAAGGGTCGTGTTTGGATTTATTTTCTATGATCGTGCTTCGCTCACTGTAACCCACTAAAACACCTCTTGATTCAGTGTTCATTGAAAATATGCTGAAAATGTTGCACTAATAAAAAAAAATCAGGTTCTATTTCTAAAATCGTAAATTAATTTGCATATTTATAAGCCAGCTGGAGATGATGATGACAATAGTCTCGTTTCCATCAACGTTTCTTGATGCGCATTTTGAAGTATCACATCAGAAAATGTGAATGGAAATGGTTTGATTCGAAAAAACTTCCTCTGATTCGCATAAAAGCTGATACGCTCGCTTGAGGTGGTTTTTTTGGTTTTTCGAAAAACAATGCGCAAAGGAGAGATGGAAACACTTTTGCCGAATAAGTTGTGATGTAGCGAACATTTACCTCACGTAGCTGATCAGCTTTTCCCCGGTACCAGTTTCAGGTCGACTGGCAGCAGGACCCTCCTCCCGCTGTTTGCGTCGTCTTGGTAATCCCGTAATGTGAAGAAAATTTCTTTCTCAACGTCTCCAAACAGCAGTAACATCGCCAAAACTAGTTGATAACAGTATAATTACAACATTCCTGATAGTAGCAACGCGTTCCTGATAACTTCTCTCCATTATCCTGAGAAGTGTGGACCCTGTGAGTTTAGTGATTGTTACTTCCTGTTTACTACGCACATGCGTATGTTATGTAATTGATTCGCTTCAAACCAGTTGATGGAAACTCCGTTTGATTCGGATTTCTTAATTTTTTCCTTTTTGCGAAATTATTAAAATTCGTACAAAATTCGAATTAAAATTGGATGGAAACACGGCTTGTAACTAGGAAGAGGCTTGCAGGGTTTCTTATAGGATGGTTTTTTTTTTTTTACCGTGGTGGGCAGTTGGGGGTGGGTGGGGGGTAGGGATGCAAACATTGAATCAACTTCAAAAGGAAAAAAAGTTGTATAGGTCCTCTGGACGGGTTCTTCTTTAATGAAACGTTTCGTCTCTCTTCCAAGAGACTTCTTCAGTCTCTCTTGGAAGAGAGATGAAACGTTTCATTAAAGAAGAACCCGTCCAGAGGACCTATACAAATTTTTTTTCCTTTTGATTTTTTACCTGGATTACTGAGATGCATC